TGTTTCTCGTTTCTTTTAAGACAAAGTCTTGCCCAATAGACCCGTAAGTTTTTATGTGCCCCAAACTGGACTTGAACTCAATATAATTCTCCTTCTTCAGTTTGCCTAGTGCTGGGATTTCAGATGTGAGCCACTACACCTAACCATTACAGTACAGATTTTTTTTAAAGATCCTTGAGAAAAGGATATGTGTCATTCTCTGTATATTAGGTAGTGTTCAGCCTGAGCTTGCTTGCAGGTAGTAGGAAAAAAGGAAATGTCATGATTAACACAAAGGTTTTGAACCCAAGTTGTCAAGTAGGATGTGCAGAGTGCTGTGACTGAGTGAGGAGTTTGTTTTAGATGTGTTCAGTACAAAGGAAGAGTAAGAATTCCCAAGGGGAAAGGGACTAGAATTCAGGAGAGAGAACTGTTTCATATATGTAATATATGCATATATATCAAGTTATTCAGTAGTTATATATCCATAGTGTTGTAATTTTAAAAACTCCACAAGGAGAAGTCATATCGTACAACAGGACTCACATAGGAGGTTTATTGGAAGAGGAGATAGAAGGGGCAGAAAAGGGGGCAGAGACCAGTCCCTGGGGGCAAGAGTGGTGGAAGACAAAGAGGGGGGTGGGCAGAGCCCTTTTAAAAGGGAGTCTAGTGAATGTGGTGCCCAGGTGGTGCTCTTAGTGGCTGCAGCTGAGGGTGTATCCGGTTAGACCTCCCAGGACAGGCCAGTACAGATGCCTGAATACTAATACATATACTCTCATACTTTTTTAGATACATCAGTTGGTCTTCATTTGAAAAATATAAGGTATAGCTACCCTGTATTGTTCCCAACTTTAAAACAATATAAGATGAAAGCTAATGTATAGGTTGATTGATTATCTTGGTCAATACTAGTTAGATTCCTAAACTAGCCCTTAAGATCATGCTGTAGCTCTTTATTTCTGTAAATAAGCACAGTACAATGTTTTAATCTCCCCTTTTCTTCTTGACAGGTAATGTGCCAGCATCCTAACCAGGTTTGTGAGAGTCACATGCCATGCAGTGACATGAGTATCCAGTGTTCACTCTTAAGAACCAAAAAGCAATCACTTCTGGCGTTTTAAAAAGAATAGGGGAGAGTGGCTTGTTTGCCTTCAGTTTATTCTTTAATCTACTGGTTTGATTTCAGAGCTTAAGACATTAGTTTCCTGTGGTAGGTATATTTCACTGAGGTTTAGGTTTGGTTTGGATCTGTTTGGTTTGGTTTTTGTTTTCCAGACAGGGTCTCACTATGTAGCTCTAGCTGTCCTGGAACTTACTACATATACCAGGCTATCCTTGAACTCACAGAGATATGCCTGCCTTTGTCTTCCAAGTGCTGGAATTAAAGGTGTGCACTACCATGCCTGGTTTGAGCTTTTTTTTATTATTTTAAGTTAAACTACCATTCCCTTACATTTTTTTGTTTGTGTGTTTGTAGAGACAGGATGTCATCATGTAGCCCAGCTTGGTCTTAGATTCACTATAGCCAAGGATAACTTTAAAATCTTTTTAGCAAATTCTTTTTTTAAGAACTTTTAAAAACTGTGTGTGTGTGTGTGTGTGTGTGTGTGTGTGCGTGCACATGAGTGCAAGTTCTTATGAAGACCAGAGGCACTGGATCCCCTTGGAAATGGAGTTAGTGATGGTTATAAACCACTCAACATGGGTGCTGGGTCTGAACTTGGGCCCTCTGCAAAAGCAGTGTGTTCTTATTCCTGTAATGACTCTTATGGACCAGTAGAGTGGGCTCTCTTTAGAATTCCACTCTAGAAAAGACTAATGGATGTTGGATCAGAAGACAAGCCCTCCTTGTGTGTCAGGTCACACTGGGAAGTTGAGAGGACTGTTTCTCATATCCACCTATAACCATTTACAATCACACTGGTGGTCAGTGTACAATGTCTGGTTTAAACGAACCAACTTACACTTAAGATTTAACTTTTTTTTTTTTCTGAGAAAGGGTTTCTCTGTATTGCTTTGGAGCCTGTCCTGGAACTCACTCTGTAGACCAGGCTGGCCTCGAACTCACAGAGATCCACCTGCCTCTGCCCCCGAGTGCTGGGATTAAAGGCGTGTACCACCAACGCCCTGCTCTTTTTTTTTTTTTTTTTTTTTTTTTTTTGCTTTAAGATCTTGATGTGAATACCTTCCCAGTTATCAGAGATAGTAGGTACATTGTAGTTTTCTCCCCAATGTGTTATTTCTTTTATTTACTTTTTGCCTCTGGAAGTGGTTAAGCGTACTTTTGTCCCTTTTTGTTGGGAGTTAACAAAATAGCCTGTTGCTTATCCTTCATCTCTCATTGTTTCTGACTTCCTTCTTAAGAGCCAGTTGCAGGAAGTTCCCAGCCTGACTCTTCAAGCAGTTCTACCTGGTTGAAAAGGGCCATTCTCAGTGCTCAGTTCCCACTGACTTGATGCACACCTGCTCCTGAACTCAGCTGCTGTTTTTCTGACCTGGTGGTTTTGCTGGGTGTTTTTGGAGAATCCATTCACTTCTGTAATAAAAATGACCAACTTTTGCCCATGTTGATACAGACTACAGGGACAGTAGCCCCCTTTCTGTTAGCCTGCTTCTCTTTTAGACATCCCGAAAACTTGTTAGCTGTATGTTTTTCTGATAAGTCCTTGTCTTTTTTCCCATGCTGCTATAGAATTCTAACTTGTCTGTTTGAACTTTCAGTCACTTCAATGAGACTTGAAGGAGGACTTTTTAATAAATGTTGATTGAATTTATTGGCTAATGCAGTTGATTTGAACTAATTCATACATGCATACACATACAAGAGATTTAGTACATATATGTCTAGTATCTTTGAAAATTTTATTAATCATGGGAAAGTGTGATATAGTGATTTTTCTAAGGATGCATATTTCTTAGTTATACCATAAAAGGTTTATGTTCTGTGACACCCATTTATACCAAGACCATGTCTGTGGTTAGCTAAGAATGCAAGGGAAAGGCACAGTAGAATATATTTGGGATCATAGGCAAGGAGGAGCAGTACAAGGTAGAGGTCACCCTGGTCTGCACAGTCCAGGCCAGCTAGGAATTCAAAGTAAGACCCTGTACTTGAGGGGAGGAGGTAGATTACTCATGTTTACACTCAAATGGCTACATCTAGAGGCAGGGCTCTTTAAACATTTTACACTCATAATCCTATTGTGCCAAGACCCCACATCTGTAGGTGTATTTGTGACTTTTCCACATTGCTTAACAAATAGACAAAAGCAGCTTAAGAAAGGAGAGGCTTGTTTTGACTTAGTTTGAGGGTTCAGTCCATCATGGCAGGGAAGGCATAGTATCATAAGCATGAAACATCTATTCACATCGCATCTGCAGGTGGGAAGCAGAGATGAACTGGTTCTTAGCCCCCCTTCTCTCTTCAGTCAGGGACCTTTGCCCCTGGAATGGTGTCACCCACACTTAGGATGTAATTCTGAGGTCAGTTAACCCAGTCTAAAACTCCTTATAGACGTGCCCAGAGGTTTGTGATTCTAGATCCTGACAAGAAGACAATAGGAAGCATCAGAGCAGGCATGGGGAAGAAGTATGCAAAGTAAACGTTCACTTATAGTCACACTGCTTCTAAGTTTATTTATTTGTTTATTTATGTGTATGTGTGTGTCTGTGTGTACATTGAGTCCAGTGCCCACAGAGGCCAGGAGAGGGTGTGGGATCCCCTGGAGCTGGAGTTACAGGAAGTTGTGAGCTGCCAGATAAGGGTGCTGCGAACTAAACTCAGGTTCTCCTACTGTTAGCCATTGAGCTATCTTCCCTAAGAAATTTATTTTTAAAATAACTCTTTAGTATACATAAAACAAAGACAAAAGCATATTTACACATTGATGAGAAGGATGTGCTTATTTTACATGAAGAATGCGGTCTTGGCTGAATATTTGCTACTGTAAGGCATCATCAACATTGTTCAGTTAATCAATATTTTGATTTGATGATTGTCAGTGCTAAGAATGCTATTTTACATAATACATAGCACAAAATAGCAATAGGGTTTAAGACCATTTCAGGAGTAGTTGGCAGTTCTGTCCAAATCTCAAGCCAAAATCCATTTAATGAATTTTCGTTAATGAAACTTAAGTCAACAACTCAAACAGTTTTTAAAATCAAGCATTTTGACACAGTGTAATCCAAAAAAACCTTAATTTGATAAATGTTGGAGAATGATAACAGGAAATCACTAAAAGTCTTTGTTTCCCATTATATTCAGAAATGTCTCTGTGGACAATAAAAGTACCACCGTTCACAGCATAGAGGAGTCTCAAACCTGAGCTGTCCTCAAGCAGTGTTCTTTGCTTTGCATGGAAAGATGTTATTCAGTGAAGAATGCATGTGGGTTTAGAAACAAGGGTGAGTGCACAGGTCAACATGGCTGGAAACACCTTGGCTTCATTGTCTTTGATTTTTGTTCGTTGGGTTTTCAGAAACCTTTTACTGTTACCAAAAAAATTTAAGGCCCCCATATTTGATATCTATATCGTAGGTGAAGCTTGAGCTCAGATTCTACTTGGGCCATTCCTTAACATATGATTGTGGGCAACATAACTCAGACGTCTGTTTGAGGATTAAAAATATGCACACAAGCCGCGTGTTGGTGGTGCACGCCTTTAATCCCAGCACTCGGGAGGCGGAGGCAGGTGGATCCCTGTGAGTTTGAGGCCAGCCTGGTCTACAGAGTTCCAGGACAGCCTCTAAAACAATACAGAGAAACCCTGTCTCAAAAAAGTTAAAAAGAAAGAAAGAAAAAATATGTACACATATAAAGCTCTAAAAGCATCTGTGTTCGCTAAAATTAATGGGACTAACTTTTTTTTTTTTTTTTTTTTTTTTGGTTTTTCAAGACAGGGTTTCTCTGTATTGTTTTGGAGGCTGTCCTGGAACTCCCTCTGTAGACCAGGCTGGCCTCGAACTCACAGAGATCCGCTTGCCTCTGCCTCCCGAGTGCTGGGAGGGGCTATCTCTTTTTTTACATAAATGTTTAGTTTATTTGTCCTCTCAGAAATCTGCACACCACAGCAAATCAAGTCACCGCAGATCTACTCCTTTGGCTTTTTGCCAGCACCAACGTTGGCCTTTGCAGTTCCCCTGACTTTCTTCATTCTGTTCTTGCATTCCTTTCGTTGTTTTCGGGACATCTTTTTCTTCTCATAAAGGCCATGTCTTACAAGTCTGTGTTTGGGCTCATTCTTCTTTGCATAATCTAGAGAATCATAGATCATGCCGAAGCCAGTCGTTTGGCCACCACCAAAGTGGGTTCTAAATCCGAACACAAAGATGACATCTGGCGTGGTTTTGTACATTTTGGCTAGCTTTTCCCGAATTTCTGTCTTTGGTACTGTTGCCTTCCCAGGGTGAAGGACATCAGTGACCATCTGTTTCCTCTGAAGCAGACGGTTTGTCATGAACTTCCTGGTCCGGATGGTTACTGTGTCATTCATGATGGGTACGGTGCCCGAGCTGCAAAAGAGAGGGCCTAACTCTTAAAGAACATTTTTTTTGGTTGGTTGGTTGGTTGGTTGGTTGGTTAGTTTGGCTTCGGTTTTTTTGAAAGAGGATTTCCCTGTGTAGCTCTGGCTGTCTTAGAACTCACTCTGTAGACCAGAGTGGCATTGAACTCACAGAGATCCACCTTCCTCAACCTCCCAAGTGCTGGGATTAAAGTCAAGTGCCACCACTTCCCAGTCCTTCTTAACTATAGTGTTTTCAGTAGCTGTAAGCAGCTGTCTTAGAATTGATTATAAGCACTGTACACTTTCATGTTGTAAGTGTAAATGTCACCATACTGGAATATGCATTCTAGCCAATGGAAAGCGTATATGAGAATACAGCCACTACTTTAGTGAATTAGGAGTACTTTTCATTTGAATTATGCATGTATTTCATATATTCAAAAACTTAAAAACTGATACAAAAAAGTAAGCTTTTAATTTGAGTACAAATTAAAACCAGGTAACAAAAGTATATACCAAATTAATAGTGTAACTATTAAGGAAAAAAAAAAGCTAACTTGTTTAACTTTAAAAAAAAAAACCAACTTTATTACAGGAGGCAGAGGCATGTGATTGAGTTCAAGGCCAGCCTGGTCTACATAGTGAGTTCCAGGACAGCCAGGACTACATAGAGAGATCCTGTCTCAAAACAACAACAAAAAATACTTAATTACAAGTATATATTTTATTTGTGTATGGGGATGGTGTGCACGTGGAGATCAGAGCACAGCTTGTGGGAGTCAGTTCTCTCCTTACACCCCCATTCCTGGAAATTGAACTAGGTTGTCTGGCTTGCCAGCAAGAGCCTTTACCTGCTGAGATGACCTGTCACTTTTGGGCATAGAACTTTGGTTATAGTCTCTTAATGGAGTGTCACCTGAGGACACAAAGAATTTCAAAGAAACATTGCCCGTAGGTAGCAGCCCTCCCAGCAGCTGTGCAGAGCAATGGAAGCTCATGTTCAGAGAATGGAGTCCACTGCACTGTTTCAGATGAGTCCTGCCCTAGCACCCTGGTCTCTTAGTGCCCCTTCCTTTATTGGGAAGCTTTGAAACCACAGTTTTGAACCCTCTCTAAAGGGTCTCCTTTCCTTTAAGAACTTTACCCCCCAAGCTGGGCATGGTGGCACTTGGGAGGCAGAGGCAGGCACGAATATCTGAGTTCAAAATCAGCCTGGTTTACAGAGTGAATTCCAGGATAGCCAATACTATACAGAGAAACCCTGCACCCCACCCTCCCCCCAAAAGAATTTCATTCCCTGCAATCATACCTACCTTTTAAAACCCTGCCCTCCCAAAGAACATTTGATAAACTCTAAGATGACCTGACAGTTTTGGTCTACATTCTCATCCCTTCTACTTTACCAACAACTAGTTTCCTGAGTTTTAGCTGGTGCCAAAATCACATATATATATATATATATATATATATATATATATATATATATCTGATACAATAGCTAAGTGAATTTTTATGTGATGCAGCTGCATTCTCATAGACACTAATTTATTGATAATTGAGGGTGTTTTTGTAATTGTGTGAGATAATGTAGAGACATAGAAAGAGAATGGTAAAGAATAGAGTTGGTAGATCCGTGTTTCCTATGTGAGATTGTGGGAATGTATAAACCAATTTTGAGATGGTTCACCCATTAAGGAAGGCAAACAAAAATGGTGATGAAATAAAGGTGAACTAAGCAGTTGTTAATGAACTCTGTGTCCTGTGAAAAGGGGATGATTAAGTTAAGTATAGATAACTTGGGTAGCCAGGCCACTTCTGGGGATTGTACTGTGTAAATTGATAGGAGGAACTAAACTGTTGAAAAATTTGTTTGGATGTTTCTTAGAGTATTTTATGTGACAAGTTTCCAAACATTTTTTTTTTCCAGACAGGGTTTCTCTGTAGCTTTGTAGACCAGGCTACCCTTGAACTCACAGAGATCCACCTGCCTCTGCCTCCCGAGTGCTGGGATTGCATGCGCCACAATGCTCAGCCTAGCTCTAAACAATTTTTAAAATTATGTTATTTTGAAAAATCTCTACTTTACTGAGCAAAATCAAATGGAATTCCATTTTTTAAGATGCCCCTGAGAAGTCACTGCAGTGTGTGGCTCTAAAAAGTAGTTTTATGTAATATATCAGAGAAATTGTCGGGAAGTTCTAGGCCCAAGATTTTTTTTTTTACAGTTTTAAAAGGAAGTAAGATTGGCAACCATAGTAATTTAAAAATGTGCTTTTTGTCAGAACTATAAAGTAATATTATATTTCTTTTACTAGGTTGAATTTTTGAGCACTAGATTACTTTAGAATTTTCTGTCCAAAATAGCTCTTTATGGAAACTGTCCCACTTTGTGGATGTCAATGTTGATGAAACATCTTTATTAAGGTTTCTAAGGTTTTGACATTGGATAAATATTCAAGAGAAATCGAATTGTTTTGCCCAGGTATTTCCAAATAATAAACTCTGTGCACAGCTGTGGAAGCAGGCCTGGTACATTCCTCACCAGTTCTTTCTAGTTCTAACACCTAAATATTTAACTTGTTATTAGATCCTTTGTCCAATTATTTTAAGAGTTAAATGAGCCTATATGAAACATGGAATACTGTGGTTCTAAGGAAGCCCTCAGTATACTGACAGCTATTATCCCTTTCCAAGTCTGTGAGTGATTTGTGAGTGGCTTTTGTTTTCTTTGTGTACATGTGGTATGTGTACATGTGTTCATGTGTGTGCAGGTGTGTTTGTGTACCTGTACATATGTGGAGACCTGAGGTTGAAGTTGGAAGTCTTCCTCAATCACTGTCCACCCTATTCATTGAGGCAGTTTCAGCTGAACCCAGAGTATACAACTAGTCTCTCTAGTCGTCTTGCTCCTGGGGTCCCCTCTCTCCACCTTCCAAATGCTGGAATTACAGGTTGGCCACTCTGGCTACTTGACATTTACATGGGTTCTTGGAATCTGAACTGTAGTCCTCATACTTGCACAGAAAGTGTTTTAACTGCTGAAGCATCTTCCCAGCCTGGGTGGCATTTTTTCAGTATTAGCATTTTAAAATAGAGTTGAGGACAGAACTAGTTTTTTTCTGAACTGAAACACTTGAGATCCCATTTGAGAAGTGAGAAAGAAAACTGCTAAACACCTACTCCATTGTGCAATCTCAGGAAGACTGACTCGCTAATTTGTTTCCTGCCTTACTCCTTGTCTTCAGCAACTTTGCCTCTGTATGAAAATGTCTCTGTTCCTTTGGAGATACTTGCTAGGCTAAGCGAACAGATCATCTCCAGAGTCTTTATTATGACTGGTTAACCATAACCCTTGAGTAGAACATCTGAATACTGTTTTCACTTTATACCTGCATATTTCTAGATTCACAGGGAGTTATTTTCCTAGGTCTTACATCCAATTCAAGAAATGTATGTTTCTCTTACACAGAAAACAAAAGAATATATAGGTGAAAATCCATAGAAGTTTTTACTTTCAATTAAACTATTCAGATTTTCTATTCTTGTTTTCAAGTTTCTAGAATAAAATCATTATGCTGAGCATTTATATGCATGTGGATATACATTCATTCTTCAGTGTCCTTGGATGGCTGCGTTTAGTAGCCATAGCCATGATGCACAAGCTCATTATGTAAAACTGCATACTAACTGCTTATAAACCAGACCATTCTTCTGTTTGCTTTTCATCTCAGTTACTTATAATGCTTAATTCAGTGGAAATGCTGTATAAATAGTTGTGCATTATATTGTTTTAGGGATCAATGACAAGGAAAAATATAAGCCTTTAGTATTTGAAGGCTTGAAAATAGGTGCAATTTTGTTCCCCTCCCCCAGATATTTTCAATATGGGGTTGGTTGCATCCATCTAAGGTTGTGGAACATGTGGATACTGTACACATTTGTATGCAAGTGCTTATGTGTTCATGTGTGTGCAGGTGTGTTTGTGTACCTGTACACATGTGGAGACCTGAGGTTGAAGTTGGAAGTCTTCCTCAATCACTGTCCACCCTATTCATTGAGGCAGTTTCAGCTGAGCCCAGAGAGCTCCTATACAACTAGTCTCTCTAGTCGTCTTGCCCCTGGAGTCCCCTTTCTCCACCTTCCAAATGCTGGAATTGCAGGTTGGCCACTCGGGCCACACGGCACTTACATGGGTTTATATAAATACTGTACGCATACAAATGCAATACATTTAAATGTGCCTTTGTTTTATTGTAATTAGTTGCATACAGTGGAAGTATGTTTAATGTATGTGTTGTAATCATTGCAGCCATGTCATTGATAAGCTGCAGAACTCTGAGATTGACAAAAGATTTTTTAACATAAGAACACAAATACTCTAAAAATCAAAGGCTGTTTTAAGCTTGTTTCTGAAACTGCTTCCTTCTTTAACTGGCCTCTTAGCATACTGAGTCTGCTTTTGGAATTGTTGTATGTAATTTGCTTAGTGGTATTTCTTTTAATTTTGCTGTTTCAAAAACTTTGCTTTTCAGAAGGCTGTAGATCACACAGCTCTTGGCTCTGGGTTCACCCTCTAGCTAGCTTGCCCCCCCTGCACACACACCCCCCATGAACTTGAGTGAGCACATGTCACAAGAGCATTTCTTCTCCTGCCCTTCTGTAGTGTTCATGCTTTAAAAAGTCACAAAGGCGGATTGTTTAGTGCACATTCTTGACATTTTAAATACCTCTGATTTTGAAAGCTTTCTTTCTCTGTGCTGTTAGATCAAAGTATGATTCATAAAATGAAAGAGGGCTCCTGTCGTTCTCTCAGTCAAGTTGCCTGCCATTTAGTCTTCTGGCCCTGTCATCTGTCTCATGGTGAGAGCTCAGCTCACCTTCATGTCATGTATATTACCGCTGGTCTGGAGCTTAAGGAAATCTGCTTTACCTGTGTTTAGAACACTTCTGTTTTAAACTTTTACTTTTCCATCAGTTTAGACTTCAGAATATGATTTAGCCATCAACTGACCT